TTTCCTTGAGCCTTTCTGTGTTGGTTGATACCAAACACGACTCCTTTTTATGAACAAAATCTAAATTTAATATCTAACTAATGCTTCAAAAACATATGGTTAGTTAGCAGTGTTTAGACTATCAGATAAAACACACAAAAATGCTATGTGGGACTAGTTGAAATTTTGCTGGTAAATGCTATGTGGGACTAGTTGAAATTTTGCTGGTAAAGCTCAATCCGCGCCCTTTCCATTGCCATCCTAATCAAGTGTCATTCTGCATTTTCTTCTATGTTAGCTAGCTCTGGAGCCACCCTATCAGCTGCTTTATTTGCCTACAAAACTCAAAAAAAGACCTGCATTATTACTGTGTTGAGACATAATATAATTAAATAACTAAAAGTGATCGTTCTTCCATTTAAATTTTATGATGAGTTGGTAACACAATTCAAGAATATAACCGAGTTAAACATGAATTTACCTCTTTTTCCCAGTTTGTCTGCAGAGTAACTACAAAAAGAAGTAGTGCTTGTGCAAAAAGGGCAAGAGTGATACCCAACCATAGTCCCTGAAAATCATATCATCGTAAGATTTTTCCATAGTTCCGATTATGGAAATGCTAAGTAAATGAGAAGCTTGAAAGAGTACGGACGTACCTTTCCACCTATATGGTAGACAAAAGCTAATATAACACCAGCAGGTATTCCGAAAAGGTAATAAGCTCCCAAGTTGACTACTGCCCCGATCTTTTGCCATCCACACCCTCGCGCAGTACCTGTATTTTGATAGGTGATAAGGTCATCTAGTCATTTAGCTCTAGTGGCGAATTCAACCATGGGGGTTTGCGGATTCAGAAGAACTCAGTGTTTCAGGGTCGAACAACACATGTATGTGTGTGAAAAACAAATATAGAATGGGTTCTTGAGTTCAAAAGTGTTGCCAGGTGTGTGTCAGATCCTTCATAAGTAGTACATTTTTTGAGTATACAACACGGGTGTGACAACATTTTTGAACGAAACACAGCAACAGGAAACTCGTATTGTAAAATATTGGACGAACCTGAAAGTACAGATTGAATACCATCTAAGAAGTGGGATCCTGCTAGCAAGACTAGCATTTCTGCTACATATCCGACTACTTCTTCCTCGGTGCTATAACAGTAGCCCCACAGTTTACGAACCGAAATCAACACAATTGCTGCAACAACCCCTTCTGTAGCCACCAATAATACTGCAGTAGTAGCTGCTAAACGAGCTGCTTGAGGTCGTCCCGCACCTAGTTCATTTGAAACTCTTACGCTGAGGAGGAAGCCAATTAAGCATACAAACTAATGAAGAACCATATAAAGGAAAATGCAACAGAAGGTGATTTTAAAATGCTAAGAGATTCACCTCGTGGCACCGCTTAGTCCTAACGGAATCATATACACCATAGCACATGTATTAAGGCTGAAACATTTCAAAATTAGCAACCCTTTGATACACTAAGATGTCAGCTTGAAATTAGTATTTAACATGACATAAGAAGAAATGCAACCTGATAGAAAGAACCGACGTCTCTAGCTTTGGATTCGGAAGAAGTCCAGACAACAGAACCATCATTTCAAATGACCAAATCTCTAAGCTGTGTCAAGAAAAGCAAAATACTCTGATTCATTCGTTCATTTTGAAAGTGCGATCGAATATATGTTTACATAGATTAAGAATACTACCAGAGCATAACAGCAGAAGGAATGGCAAGTCTCATATACTTCCATATATCATGAAATGCCTCTTCTGAAAATCCAGTCCAAGTGTTTTTGCAAGAAGGTGATATTCTGACATATCCCGCTAGCAACAAGAGATTAATCCAGTAGGATATCGCATTAGCAAGAGCAGCACCCTTGTTGCCTAGGCCAGATTTAAAGACCAGAATCCAACAAGTGAATATATGCAGTAAAGTAGTGATCCCCGCGCTGAACATCATGGGGATCACATTGTTTTGTGCTTGTAGAAATCTAATATGACACTGGAGAAGTGCAAAGGCGAAAATAGTTGGAATCATATAACGCGCATAACTTCCTGCTTCAGCTGATATTTCCGGATCTTGTCCAAATATTACGAGAAGATGCCCTGCATTAGCCCAAATGCAGGCCACAGGAACACTAGCCAGTAGAAGAACAAGCATTGCCCTTTGCATATGGATACCGAGCATATGATACTGCTTTGCACCATATGATTGCCCACATAAAGTGTCCAATGCACTTCCCATTCCCATCTACGAAATTCAGAGATGACAAAACGCCACTTAAGTTCGTATCAAATAACTAAAAAAGTAAATTTCTATGAACTCCATATGTATCAATTATGGATGCAGGTAAAAGCATCTACTAAATCAAAACCTATGCAACATGTCCTCAAGTGGATGGTTGAGTGGCTTAGGCAACATACAGTATTTATACATAAAACTAAAATTTTAAGCTAGCTAAACGGTGTAATTTTTCGATAAGGTGGCTCCGCCACTCTTTGAAGGATCTTCTTGAAACACTTAATTATCATGTTCGACATGGTAAAAGTCCATTTAAGATTTATCGATACGATCATATTAATAACCAAACACCAAAAGAGATGACAAATGACAATAAGGAAAGTGAAAAAAAGGACTAACCATCAAGCTTAGGCCAGTTACAGAGGCAAATGAAGTAGCCATTGAAGCACCAGAAAGAGCTAACTCTCCAAGATGACCAACAAACATTATAGATATAACCTGTAAACAATAAATTAAAAAGTTAACTGTCATAAGAGGCCCTGCTAATATCAATAACCTCTTCATTTCTTCCAAAATCTCATTTTTCTTGTTCTTTGACTCTTCTTCCTTTACAGTTTCTCTAATCAATGGACACTCAATATCTTGTGTATCCATTTGTCTTTCTCAAAGTCTTCCCTCCACAAAGCAATAATTTTACAACAGAGGATATGTACTCTAGTGCAATAAAAGCTAGCTTTGTTTGTATGTATGTCCACCCCATGGGGACAAAGTTATCCTTGGTACTAGTGGGTGGTAGTAGGTATCTGCGGAATTAGTCGAGGTGTGTGCAAGTTGACGCGAATACTATGATTATGAAAAGAAAAAGGTAGCTTTGTTGGTATGTCCACCCCATGGGGGGAAAGTTATCTGATATTGGAACTGGTGGGAGGTAATAGGTATCAGTAGAATTAGTCGAGGTGTGTGCAAGATGACACGAATATCATGGTTATGAAAAGAAAAAAGGTAGCTTTGTTGGTTTGTTCAAGATTTGGTGGACAGAGTTGTTTGATACTTATGCTAGTGGGAAGCTTGAAATTAATCAACGTGCGTGCAAGTTGTCTCCAATTATATGATTATCAAAAGAAAAAAGCTACCTTGTTAAAATGAGTCAAATCAATGAACGGGTCATGATCCAACTTGTCCGAAATTTAATTTGCTAAGGTAAAAATGGGTTGAATCAATAGCTCATTGGGGCTGTTCAAGTCTTGATAGACAAAGTTATTCGGTAGTGTGTTGATTTTGTGATTAGCCATGACACCACAAAAGTTTTATTTGCTTGGTTTTGTGTATGTTGTTCATTAATTTTTGCCCATCATGTATAACCAAGAATAATTACAACTTTGATGAGCATCTTACCATATTTTGCGAGGCGGGTTTAAAATACATAAAAATGTTATGTGGGCCGGGTGGGCTGAGCTAAAAAAAAAGTATAAGTTATAGGAACCACATTTATAAGTACTAAATAACATCATATCCCTTCTAGTTTTCTATTTACCAAAAATCCCTTAAAAATGATGTTTGCGGGATACATAGCGTTGTGCACGGGATACATTAGGTTTGATACATTCCACATAGCGGGATACATAGCGTTTGATACATTCCACATAGCGGGATACATAGCGTTGTGCACGGGATACATGCGGGATACATAAGTAAATAAGATATTTTTGAAATTTTTGAAATAAGTAGGGATAAATGGATATTAAGGTAAGTAAATGAGTGTAGTTAAGTAATTTGTCCAAAAAAATTTGTGGGTTAAAACTCAACCTACCCTGCCATGTCGTGCCTCGCCCCATTGCCATCCTTATTACAAATGCTAGGAATACATTTTTGAAAAGTTATTCTTTTTCATGTCTGCCCTAACAGCATCTAACATTGCAAAATGGGTAGAAATTTGGGAGATTTGAATTGATAAGGTGACTTGCTTTACCAAAAGATTAAAGTGGTTCTGCCCTACACTCTGCCCTACACTAACTTTTAATAATGTTACGCATTATTTGACTTTGGATTTTTGATTTGTGGCTTTGGAATTTCAGGATATATCCAAAAATTCCAATTTTTCATACCTTATATTTATTCGTAACGATTAGTCTATGTTGTTTTACAAAAATGGAAAACTCATGGGAATCGAGCATAGTTTTGAGCACAAGTATTTTAGGTGAAGCGATTCTTGGCGTAACGATAAAAGTTATTTTGTGTGGCTAAAAAGTCAAGAGTTCCAATTTAATTACTCATCAAATAAGATATTTTTCCCGAAAAAGGAAGACAATGCATTGTGTACAAAACACACATAGTAATAAATCATTGAATTCCCTTTCAAGGGGATCATAATTTCACTAGCAAGAGGTGATAATTTCCAACAAAATTTGGCACAATTTTACCATACTCACTTTTTTTTTCAAGAACCTTTTTGGGAAATGTGACATAAAATTGTCTTTAATTGAACAAATTCGCTTCTAAAAACATAAATGTAACGGTCTTTCTGAAACATATCACAGAAAATAATGCAACACAAACTAACCACAGAGAGTATATTATATCGATGCAATGGTAAGAGTTGTTGTGCGACTAGAAAGTCATGAGTTCCAATTTGATTACAAATGTAATGAAATGTTTTACCAAAAACAATGTTACATGGACAAACATTGATGATCAATTCAAGATAACAATTGATACATATATAAAAGTGGAATTAATAAATTTATTACAATAACACATAGTAATAAATCATTAAAATTTCACTAACAAGAATTGATAATCTCAACCAACTTGTTGAAATTTTGAGTTGAACTCCCACTTGTTCCAACAGCCCTTAGAGCAAGTTCTTTGTACATTCCAATTTGTTCCTTCAATTCCACTCTATTTTTTGACAAAACTAAGTCAAGTGCATCAATTGTACCACTTTTTGTAAAAACCCCACCTTCAATTTTCACACCAATTTTCCAAACTTTCTCAACCATCCAAGCATTCAAATGATGATCTCCAAAAAATGGCCTACAAATTATAGGTACCCCAGAAGCTATGCTCTCCAGAACCGAATTCCATCCAGAGTGATTTATAAAAACTCCAATCGCACTATGTTCAAGAACTTGTACTTGTGGTACCCATGGTACAACTTTACCATACTCACTTGTGTTTTCCAAGAACCCTTGTGGAAAATGTGACATAAAATTCTCTTTAATTGACCAAATAAATGGAATTTTTTTTTCTTCAAGTGCTTGAGCCATAGCTTTTAACTCATTAGGTGGTGGTGTTGCAACAGTACCAAATCCAATATATGCCACAGAGCTTGGTTCTTGATTATTTAGCCACTCAATACAATCATATTTGTCTACAATATTTGCTAAGGGGGGTGGTGAAGTTAAATTAAAAGGACCAACATTAAGAATATTGTTGAATTTAGACTTGAGATATTGAACCATTTGAGGGTCTAATTCTTCAAATGAATTTATTGGTATGGCTTTTCCTTTTCCTATGGTTTTTCCCATTTTATGAAGCATCATCGAAAATGGCGATTTTAGGTCTCCAAAAACAATTCCACCAGGCAAATTACCAAGTCTTACTTCAGAAATTCCAGGAATAAAATTCAAAATTTCATCTTCGCGTCCATCAATTCCTATGACCAAAAAAAAATGAATGATTTTTATTGTAACGCGCAAATGCAACATTTAATAAATCAAAAGAAAAGTTTGGATTTCTATAAACAATATCTTCATATACTATAGTCTTATCATTCATCCAATGTTTAGTCATGAACATGATAAAGTTCTCTATTTCTGTTGTATCGATTATCATTTCAATGATCAACTTCTCCTATAATAATATATATCCTACCTATTATCGTCATAATATCAGTCAATTTTATTCTCTTAAGTAAGAATTTCAAAAGAGAAAAAAGACAAATATACCCCTGAACTATCGAAAATGATATGCAGATACCCTCCGTCATATTTTTGGGGCATTGATGTCCCTGCCATCCAAAACTAGAACATATATACCCTTTATACTAACGGACATACACGTATATGTCCGTTAGTATAAAGGGTATATATGCTCTAATTTTTTTATGACAGGGGTACCAATGTTCCAAAAGTATGACGGAGGGTATCTGCATACCATTTACGCTAGTTCAGGGGTATATTTGTCATTTTTCCCATTTCAAAATTGGAAAAAACATAATGGATGAATAATTTTCCATCTCCAAGGAAAAACACTATCTAGAAAAATTCTCAATTCTCTTATTTGGGGCTTCAACTATTGAATAATCTTTATGGATTCTGTCATTTGACGGACTAATATATGCATAAAAATCATTTTACGTACCTTGGATTCCAACATTTTGTCTTATAACATCGGTATCAACATGAACAGAGAGTGATCCAGCTGCGGAAGTCCATACAGGAATCCAACTAACGTTAAACTCTTCAGCCATATCACTCGAAAACCACATAAACGCATCCGCAATAACACATGTAATTTTTTTCCCTGAGTCATTCTCAGCAGAAATTATAGCATTATGAATATTTTTCTTCGCGGATTTGAAGAATAATCCTATAATCTCCTCGAGACCACCTCCGAGCACGTGACCCTCTGGGACGCCATCAGAGACGTCATAGGGCTTAAGATTTGTATTTCTATAATTATAATTTTGTGAATTAAAAATTGAAGAATTCGAAATTTTTGTGCTAAAAAATGTGAATGTCACATTTGGTAATGTATTTGCTAGCCTTTGAACAAGTCCATATAAAAGGCCAGCATGTGTTGCAAAAGGAAATGCTATAACAGCAACATGATAATTAGACATTTTTGTTTTTTTTCTTGGAGGAGTTTAGTGAGATAATAGAATGAAAATAATATGGAGAAGAGTAAAAGATTTGTTTTTAAAAAAAAATAAAATGTTTGTTTAGTAAACACTCTTAGCCTAGAAGTTGTTATAATTGATAAAAAAAAGTTGCTTTAAAATAGGAGATTTTCTAGGTTTTTTGTATGGTTATAATTTATATGAAGGTTTATACAATGGAATTATATATATATATATATATATATATATAGGAAAAAGGATTTCATTCATTACTATTTTGTTCATTACTTCTGAATGATGTGGTAGATGTAAGTCACGTATATAAATGAATACGAGAGGTTAAGATAAAAAAATTGTTATTTCTTCAAAAAATAATATTTTTACACTTTAATATTAAGCCCGAAATATTTATATGTATTATTAATATTTCTTCAATTTGATTTTTTATTTATTTATTAGCATTTTTAAATTATTCTAAAAAGTAAACATAAAAAATCTTGAAGGATTATTAACAAAACAGGTCCAGGCGTTTATGATTAAAATAATTTTGCTTATATTTCAAAAATATTACTTAGTATAAGAAAAGTTAAATAAATAAATATTTATAAAAGTTACAGAAAAATAATCTTGGCCTCTCATATTCATTTGTACGGTAAGGTAATGAACAAAAATAGTACTTATATATATAATAGAAATAATTGGAATATAACTAACGATCTGGTAAAATTTGGGAATAAATATACAATGGAATATGTATCATTTATAATATAGTATTAGTCCATTTATTATTGAATTTTTTATCAAAATAAGCTATTATTAAAATCAATTCACCAAAATAATATGTTTTTGAGGCGGGTGAAAAATCATTTAAGAGAATGAGTTTAAGGCTTAGATAAAAAGGTTCTACCTACCGACCGTGACTTATGGTAGAGTGGGAGGTGATGCTTCAATATTGTTTCTGTCTTTTTTTTTTTTTTGCAAATTATATTTTTTTTACTGATTTTAATTTTCTGATTTTAAAAATATATTTTAAACTTTGTTGTTTTTTACAAAATTCTGCAAAGTTATTGTTAAAGTCTCTTAATAATACAGATAAACAACCATGTAGATATTGATATCCAAACACAAACCACTATATATGTTACCTTTTTCACATTATCATATTCAACACATAGCTTTTTTCATTTCTATCCCTTTTATTCGTTTAGATATAACAAGTGGACAATTTAAACCCTTCACATCATTCTAATTACTCTCAACACACAATCAACAAAGGAAGCATACGAATCCAAACTAGAATACAAGATTTAGGAAGTCACTTGCTTTAAATCAATTAACAATCACTTCAACCCAAAATCTTGAATCAAGTTTATGAAGAACTCCCAATTTATCAACCCAAAATCTTGATTTAAACTCATAATTTGTTGGGTTCTGAAGGTGAATTAGGGCGTCATGCGAAAGCTTACAATTTGCAAATCATATAGTTGATAAATCAGATAACAAAAAACTTAGACTAAAAATCAAAATATTATTATATCAAAACTAATATAAAGAAAAACATTGAAACTTTAGAGAGAATAAATCTCCCCATAAACAAGACTCTTAAACGACTATATTGTGGATGTTATTGTTATTGTGTTAGAAGAAACAAACCTATATTTATAGAGTCCTAAAACCTTTTCTTACTAGAAAAGAGCTAGCTACTCCAAAACATTTTCCTAAAAGGAAAGAATAAACTAAATATGAAAGAATATTATATTTTCCTTTCAAGAAAAGTAAAAACATTTATGGTAATGTTTTGTCTTTTCTTTAAGGAAAAATAAATCTTAAATTATGGTAAGAAAATCAGGGCAAAACCCTAACAAAATTTAATAATAATAATGGGTAATCGAAGATTTAGAGTTAAGCATCGTTACCAAAAAGATTTTACTCCAAAACCTGGTCTAAATCGCCTCCTCAAAGATTCCAAAACTCAAAAATGGAGAAATGGGTTGAAACCCCTATTTTAGAAACACATTCTACCCAGGTCACAGATGCTCATCGCAATCGCGACCCAGGGTCATGTGATCGTGATTAGTAAGGCAGTCAACTCATTAAGGTGGACCATCGCGATCGTGATGCACCGTAAGATGATGCTATGTGATCGCGATGAGGGAGTCTTGCGATCGCGATGACCAAAATGACTATGCACCATAATCAAAAACCAGTCAAACTCAAAATCATCGAAAAGACCCTCGAAATTCGTTCGAAACCCCGTACACATAAACCACATATGCATATCAAATATACTCAATGTTTCGGACTCAATGAAATCATCAAAACACGAATTCGAGGTCTCCTTGACCCGACATCTGTGAAAATCACAAGAAACCAACTCACACCTAAAAAGGCTAAAACAAACTCGGGACTTCTCAAAAATCAATCAAGACCTCAACTAGGCCTATAATCATCCCCCGAATCCAACGGAACTCTTGAAATTCCAATCCGAGCATCTGAACCCCTAATGTTGGCCAAAGTCAACTCAAAAACTAAAATTCCACAATTTCACAACTTACGACCTCAAATGCTCAAAAAGACTCGAAATCAGAAATCGAAAACTCCCACTAATCAATCACATTTCGGGACTGATGGAATCGACGGAATCCTATTGCGATACTTGAAACTCCAAAGACACCAAAAACCACTTTCTTAACAACCTAGCCTTTCAAATTCAAAACTTAACAAAACTCTCAATTTTTAACTCAAAGTTCAAAACCAACTTTTCAAATTCAATAAAAAACAACTCGGGCCGACATCGGGAGGGAGAAAATTGATAATTTCCACAAATAAATAAAAAATGACCGACCGGATCATTACAATTAAACCACTAATTGAGTCAATTGAAAAAAAAAACTCAATTAGTGATTTTGTTTGATATTGAAAAATAAGACCGACTATATATTAGGATTGGTTTGATTTAACTTAAAAATCAATCCAAGACCCAACTAACCCGACATTACATATATATAATTTTCTTAAAAAGATCTTATTTTATGCATAGAAGTATTTATTTTGATTTATAATTTATAAATATTTCTTATACTTTTTCATAATTTTTATCATTTCACATATTATTTCAAGTTTGACTTAGGATTTTAATGGTACAACAGGTTATAGTCCACAGATATTAGTAACTTTAATACATCTCTAATCAAAATCAAGTCAATACTAATGCTATAACAAAAATAAATAAATCAATTCAACACTAAGAATGTCAATAATGTTGAATATTTGTTTTTTAGTTTTACATTGGTTTAGAAAATTAAAATACACAACCTAATTTTAGTTTTTTTTAAAATGTTTAGGCATGCATGTAACTAATCCTTATTAGACTTATTTTAGCATGATTTAGTACTTTTAAATTAGGTACATTTTCATTATAACTTATTTATTTGCAATATTTATTTCCTACAATTTCATTATTAATTTTTTGTTGAATATTTTAGTGTCATCACTCATATCATATTTTGTGTCTTTTTTTCAGAAACACCTTAGATAGTTATATTTTAATATGACAAAAGAAATATTCAAAACTTCAAGTTAATTATATGTTTGTATGAATACTTTATCAGAAAAAACACAAAAATCCAAAAAAAAAAAAAAAAAACTAAGTTAATTATTTGCAGAAGGGAATGCTATAGAACAGCAACATGGTAATTGGACATTATTTTATTTTTTTCTTGGAGGAGTTTAATAGTTTATGGGGATAATAGAATTAACAATTATGGAGAAGAGTAAAGATTTAGTTGTGGTTTTCTTCTTTTTTGTTCGTTTCTTTTATGATCTATAAAAAGTTTGTTTTGTAAAAAATAATATTAACCTAGAAGTTTATATAATTGATTAAAAAATGCTTTAAAATTGGAGTTTTTCTCGGATTGTTGAATGGTTGCAATTTAGATGCATATTTAAACAGTTGGTTTTTCTAAGCTTGTCTTGTGATTTACCCTAATTACTTGTTCACTTTTGAATTGACACACTTATATATTAAGAAAACAATAATTGACATAGTGAGTTTACTATTTTACCCCTATTAAGTATGAAGTGAATGAATTAAAAGCTTAAGATTTTCAAAAAGTTCTACCTTTTTCAAAGTAATTAATTGAGGGTATAATAGGTAAAAAAAAACTGTATTTTCTTGATTTGTCAAAATAAACAATTAGGGACAACTAAAAAAGGAAAAATGAACAAGTAATTAGGGACAGAGGGAGTAGAAAGAAGAAAAAAAATTTAGAACATGTCGTCACTATTCTCCACGTGCGCACAAGGTTAGTCTGTAACTCTGTAACAAGCTCGACCGAAAGAGCATGCAAGATATTTCAAACTTGGGACCTCCCATTTGAAAAATCACCTGCTGATCAACCAATTCGATTATACTAATTATGATTAACCTTTTTTTTTTTTGGGGGGGGGGGGGGGTGGAGGGTTAGGGGTAGGGGTGGGGGAGAGGGTTGGAAAACATCCATAGGTTGCAAATGGGCTGAGGAATTTGGGCTGCTCTATGTTCACTTTCTTAGTCCAAATAGTCTGTAAGATTTATTTGTGAATGTTTATGCTAATAATATTTCACTTATATTTTTTATTTCAAAATTTTGGACAAGCTATGTAATCTCATGCAACAATCTTAAATCAATATTCATAAATAAAACTCGATGTTGTTTAGTATTTATTAACCATCAAAGGTTGTGATGGAGTAGTATTAGTACTATTATTTTATTCTTAATTAGATGTTTCGAGATTGAGAACTTTCTCACGTCAATTTAGATTAATCGGACCCCAAAATGAATATCGATAAACTATAAAAGTATAGTTTACTCATATGTTCATATTCTTCTTTCACGGCGTTACACTAACAGGTGGAATTTTCTTTGCTTGTGGCTTATTAAAATTACACATAATACATAAATATATTTTTAAACTTGCCTATAACGGTATTTATGTCCTTCAACTTAGAGTGTGCAAGTAGACACTTAAATTTGTATAAAAAGAAATAAATAGACACATACAACCTACGTAATACATATAGGACGCCACGTAGAACACAAAATTATTACGTAAGACACCACGTAAGACGAATTCAAATTATTATGGATTGATCTTCATGTGACTCATCAAGTGGTGGTAATAGCTCGTGAATATGTTAATTAAAATGTTCACATAACTCATGAGAATTTATTTATTAAGTATCATTTAAGTTGTTAACGTACAAAAGCACTAAAAGCGGTTTTCATATTAATTGCGATTTTCATATTAGAATTCATAAAAATATACTTTATAATAATGTGCAAATACATAAAAGACGGAACTAGAGAGGTGAAAGAGGGTTCATTTGAATCTTTTTATCCATAAAATTACACTGTATATATAAAAAACAGTTTCTTCATGTCTTATAATAATTATTTCGGAACTAATAAATCTTGTCTTACTCTTCAAGATTTTATTTTTTTTGAGTAGAAAAGAAGTCAAGAAAAACATACCATAAGGTCCCATAAAATTAGTTCCCGTTAATTCAGGTCGCATTCACCTGCGTTAATTTAGGTACTTTAGACATATATATAATACTATGTACTAACTATAGTGGAAAGTTTTGTCTATTTATTTCTTATAATCGTTGTGTTTGTGTTAATTTATGCATATTTCAATTAATATTTTATGGTTCATTTATTACCTTCCAAAAGCACAAGTAGCGAATAATTCTATTCACTAAGACGGAACATCACAAACAAGGTGCAGAAGTATCGACAAAACTCAATAGGGTTGACTCGTACTTTAAATGTATCTTAAGATATGTGCAAAATTAAATCTAGAACTCACTTATTAGCATTTGAAATCATTGTTTTAACAATTTATATTAGTACGAAAATATTCAGACACGAGTTATTTTTAATAACTACGTTAAAATTCTAAAATACAGTAATGATTAATTAAAAAACTAATGATAGTTATTTTCTTTTGTGAATAATACGTCATCCTGCTGTGTAAATATTTGTTTGAATAAGTATAGATTTATGTTCTTTCTTAATTGATACACAAGGTAGATAAATTACTTTTTCTGTGTTTTATAATCCTACAATGTTTTGTATAACTTTTTAGAAATTTTAAATTTGAAAATGAAAATTTCTACACTTATGCACTATAAATTAGACAAATTCAATGACAAAAAGAAAATGGTTTTACTTTAAATAGATGATTTTTTTTTCTTCACTTTTGAAACTTCAAAGTAGTGAAGAGCATGTTATAGAAAGTATTCCTTAAACCAAAAAAGTCAAAGCAACGATACATTTGAAGAATTCCAAAAAAAAAACTCTTATCACAAACTAATTCTAACATTTATATCATTTTTTTTAATTATTCCTTGTATCCCAATTTATGTCTCATTTTTTCTCTTTTAGTCCCCCCCAATCCAAAAAAAAAAAATCAATAAAATTTTTCTATTTTATTTTTAACCAGATGATTTATAGCCACGTAAAATATCTACAAATTGTTTTGAACCACACCTTTCAAATATCTTTTTTTCCCTTTTTAAACTTTGTGTCCAATTGAAATATAAATTACGATGCCGCAGAAAAACATAAGAATTAGCGACGAAATACTTCTACCTCTAAACCACAAAATATCTATTGCTAATCCTATTTAACGATAGACTAAATACCAATTATCAAAAAACAAATGCTATCTAAGAACTATTTAGCAACATAAAAAAAAATAAGGGGAGAAACATTAAAAAAATATTCTTATATATAAATAGTCAAAGGGGATTAGATTTCTTTAAACTAAATTCTTTATCTTTTTTTTTTTTCGTTTTTCCAATCTACAAAACACAAGTGTGGTAATCATTATCGAACATGGGTGCCACCAAATAAGTTGACACTTTAATCCACCAACTCTTTTTTCTTTCATATAAATACTATACTATATACACCTCCAAAAGTACTTAAACCAAAAAGCAAACAAACAAAAAAAATCTCCTCAATGAATTCTTACTATTTTTTTGCCCCTCTTTTGCTACTATCCATTATTTCAACAACCATCAATGGCCTCACTCAACAACAAAGTGGCTATGTAATGCAAACATACACAAATTATTACAACAACAACAACAATTTGATTCAACAATTTTTGGCTCCTCAAAATGCAGCTCGTTCAATGCTTAGGCTAAGACCATTAGTATGGGACAAAAAATTGGAGAATTATGCAAAATGGTACGCAAATCAACGAAGGTATGATTGTCAATTACAACATTCTAATGGACCTTACGGCGAAAATATATTTTGGGGGGGAGGGGATGGTTGGTCGCCAATCCAGGCTGTAGCAGCCTGGGTTGGCGAACGAAGTTCGTACAACTATGGGTACAATAGTTGTAGTGGGGAAGAAGAATGTGGACACTATACACAAATTGTGTGGAGAGAGACTAGAAGAATTGGTTGTGCAAAAGTTACTTGTTATAATGGCTTGGGAGTTTTTATGACTTGCAATTATGATCCTCCTGGTAATTACATTGGTGAAAGACCTTACTAAACCTTATTTTTTTTTGGAAAAAAAATTTGCATTTGATCAATTGGTTTTTGTATTATTATTGTTTTTGTTTTCTTGAAATTTTTTTGTTTTTGTTTTGTGAGATTGAGAAAAGAATATTTTCTCATTGCTACTTGATTAATTTGTATCAATAATGACAAGTGTAATATGATGATTTGAAAGTTAACTATACGGTATATGAGTTATGTGAATGTGGAAGTTAATTGTATGCCATTGTTGAAGGGTTTTTACGTTTGTTTGTATGTGTCATGTTTTTGTAATGATGTTTGCATATCTCAAGAAGATAAGCCACTGAGAGGGAAATGAAAAAATGTTTCCTGGTACGAAGGTGAATTCAGAATTTGAACTTTATAATTCGAGTTTGATATTCAATAATAGATTCAAAATCTACTACCTTTTTTGATGGATTTTTCATACGTATACAAGATGTGAGCCAAAATTATTGAATTTTGATATATATGTATTGTTTACATATATACTACATGCATTCGCTTCTATCTTGTGTGTTACTTCTCTATAGATTATTGATATAACTATAGAATTTAAGTTAAAACTATTGAATTTTGATGAATTCGATTGGTATTTAAAATTTGAAATCACTGATTAAAATATTAATATTTAATAAAAAATAGTTTATATGTTTTTAAATTTCTAAAATAACAAATATAATGGACCAAATTTGTTTGCTTAAAAGCGATACACAAGAAGGACGGGATGGAGTAATAAATTCAGGGATGGAACAATAATAGAAGTTACGAGTTTGACACAATTCAATATAAATTATTTATTTAATACCACTAAACAAAAATAAATTGTAACTCATAACCTATAAACGTAAAATTCTAAATCCATCTCGACCAAATTTTACAATTTAACAAAGACAAAAAAGTTAGAAAAGGAAGCTCAATTCTTATTTTAATATTATTTATGTTTTTTTTTTTCACACTTTTATTTTTATTTTTTCTATCCTTCCATTCCCTTTCTTTTTTGTTGTTTTTGCTTTCTATGTTTTGGAATGAGGGAATAAGTCAGAACAACAGCTGGCAATTTAGAAAATTGAGGAATATTTGGGGCCAATTAACAGAATCATAACAAAGTCATAGGTTTTACAAAATAATATTTGTTTATAAAAATCTTCTAAAGTAGAACATTAATTATCATAAATCATTTTATAATAAATATATTAAGATATCTTTGTTTACCAACATTGGTTATAGTGGATGATTGAGATTCCTCCATTTTAATTAGAAGTTTCATGTTGGAAGCATCACCCGCAGAAATGGATTCCGCAATATGAGAATCAGATTTTCATCGAATTATAATGTACGAATCTAAATTTAATTGTATTTTAATATGAATATCGAAGACTAAGAAAACAAATAAAAGTATAAAAATATATATCTTTGTTTAATATTGCTATCTAAAACATCAATAATCTAACAATAAACCGACCAAATGCCAGCCTAATTAAGAGCAGACTTCTTGAAGGCTATGCTCCTTTAATCTTCCAGATATAATAATAATAATAATTAATAATATACATTTGGTTTTCCAACTTTTTAGTTTAAAAAATAATGTATTTTCTTATTCTTTGTCTTTCACTAAAGATTTTGTGTTTGAACTTTTTTAAAATGTAGGATTCGAACCTTAAGAATTGAGAATTTCTTTTTATATGGAGCATTTCTCCCTTGAATGACCTCTATATACGACACAAATTAAAATGTAGGATTCGAACCTTAAGAATTGAGAATTCCTTTCTATATGGAGCATTTCTCCCTTGAATGACCTCTATATACGACACAAATAAGATGAATTAAATGATCAATAGATATCAAATATTAAACAACTATAAAAAAAATTATATTCTTTTGTTTTATGATTGATTGCGATTTCATATTCATGATTATGATCCAGTTCGAGCCCTAATAAAATAGAAAAACTTCTAGTAAAGAACATTTTCTTTTATCATACATTCTTTAATATAAGACTTAAACGATACGAATCTGAATTCTTAGTAAATACCGAGTTTTACATGTTTATTCCAAAAATATATATATTTCTTCTCTTTTTTTTATTTTGGTTTTATTTGATTGTCATTTCATTTTCATAATTATTATGTAGACCCAATAAAAGACAAAGTGGGAACTTATTTTTGTGGTAGAAAGAAATACCACTTGATTTTTGTGGCCACATGTCTTTCATGTAATCCCTCTTTCAAACCCTTTATCTTCTCTTTATCCACAAATATATACTTTTCTAACTCTTCATGCAAAATAAATCCAATCAGAAAATGATATTTTTAACATATCTAGTTGTTGAAATACTACCTGCAGGTGCATCTTTATTATTTTTATCGAGTATTTGCTATCTTTCGATATTATTGGACATACATCGAGTATCTGCTATCTTTTGATATTATTGGATATACAATGGAAGATAATAAATATACATTGCTTGTCAAATATTAATTGGACATTACGCAGAATGTTCTTTATGATATTATTATCGACTTTAACTGAATTTAATATTTTTAACACGTAATGAATGTTATTGTTATCCATATATCTAATTTTTAAGAATCATACCTCAAATGCACATGCTACAATACTATAATTTTGTAAGGAATATAATCATTTTCCATAATTTGGCACATAATACATAATTAATTATTTTAAGGATAATTATATAGTCCTTATGCACTCAAATTGATCATAATGATTCGTTGGTACATTGTAATTAATAATTACTGAACCACCAAAATGTTGTAGCGAATGATAAGTATTTCTTCATCTTTAATCTAAGATTTCATATTTGAGTCCTGAAAATGATGTCGACTTTAATTTGATACCTTTACCTTTCAAAGTGGTAATTCTTGACGTGAATCTGAACTTGTCGAATCCCAAAGAGAATATCGAACTTCTAATGTGAAATAATGTATAATTTCTTTTTTTTTTTTTTTTTAGATTCAATCTTACACCATCCTACTATCCTAGGCCTATCAACTCAAACACACCTATGGGCCTAACTAGACTTTAAATTGGGCCTTCAGCTTGGGCTGGTCTTGAACCTCAAAAGAATGAAAATGGACTTAAGTTCTTACTTCCAATTTCATTTTAGTTAAACAAAACGATTAAATTTTCATAGGATTGATATAACATGTTTAAAATCATAAAATTCAAAAGGTAAATTTAATATGACATATACATCTTTGATTTAAGATCATAATATTCATTTATCTTTTTTACATTCATAAACTTCATATCCCAATCAAACTAAGATAAGTAAAATGAAACAAATATAACAACTTTTTAGTGGTTTAAAAAACAACGTGCTGCTCAACTCTGTGAAAGCCCGTAAATCAAATATTGACCTTTCTTTCTCTTCTTCTAGTCTAATGCATCAAACTCTCATAACCGATCACTCATATATCCACTTCATATTGGCTAGTAAAGTTGAGTTATTCTACGTTTAGTGACTGACAAATAAGACATTATTTTTCCCATGTGTATTCAAACCGCTGCAAGACGTGGCAATTTGCTAGTAGTGCCACGTAGAAAATTTTCAATGGACCATTTTATCTGTGTCGAGCTCTCATAACCGATTACTCTCGTGTCCATTTCGTCCTGGCTAGCAAAGTCTAGATATTCTAGGCTCAACGACAAATAGTATCCAACCGCTGTGAATACATGTCGATTTTCTAGTAGTGCCATGTGGAAATTTTTTAATGGACAATTGTTGTCAAGTTGTCACCATCTGATAGAACAAAGAAAAAAGGAGTTCACGGACTCAACATATAACATGATGCCATAGCTCACGAGCAATTATTAATCAATGCCATGACAAAAAAAGGCCAAACTTTGCATAAATTGTCAAATGCCACCACTATTTTGTTATCTTTACAACCGTACAATATTACAACAATGATTTGTATGATCGACCCACATAACATGCAATTTTCCAATTAAAGGAACTCTAGTATTAGCGATGTTCGAGTCAGTTTGTGTGCATTTCAGATATCGAATAATTATATTCAATATTTTTTCACATAAAAAAACACTAATATTAGGTGGTGTTCGGACCAGCTTAGCTTATATGTATTTCAATTAATTTTATGGGGCATTGTTGCTACCTCTCAATAACATAGAAATCAGGTAATTTTGTCCGCCAAAAGTATGGACATCTGAGAATAAATCATTTACTGTTTTTGCTCAAGTTCATTTATATAAAATTTACATATTTAAAAACTAAATAAAATTAAAGTTGTATTACTCCATCGGTCTCATTTAATGTTACACATTTTTTTAAAAAAATAATGAACTTTTTTTTCTGAAAACAATAGTTTAAATAAAGTTTGTGTGATTATAAACTATCTCATTAAAAATAAATAGAAAGTTTAAAGCTAAATTATTTCTAAATATAGAAAATTATTATTTCTTTTTTTTTTTTTTTAATACGCTACATACATTGAGATAGAAGAAACATAACTTTGCATATATAATTAATAGTTCACATATATTTAAAAAGAAATTTTAGTGAAAGATAATTGATTTAAACTTTTAGCTTTATCATTTCAGTTGCTCCAATCAACACTTACATATTATAATCATGCTTTGATACTCAAAAATTTCGTCAGAATTAATGCTACCTGATTTCTCAATATTATTATTAACCTTCAACAGATATTCTTTCCTCCAATATTATTTACTCACCAACAAAATATCATAAATACTTTTTTAAAAAATAAATTAAAAAATTCATAGATAATGACTTCAATCATATATAGCAAACACCCCAATCGATATCATCCAATAAAAAATAATTTTGTGTACAAAGTATTTCACGTTCACGTAGAGTTCGAGAACGTAACGTGCACTCCAAAAGTGTGATGTATAGCTCCAATATAAAACAAATATTATCGAACCTAGCTACACCCTAATCGATACCATTCAATAAAAAAAATAGTTTAGTGCACAAAGCATTTCACGTTCACGTAGA